AATAATATTGATATAACATGTTTAATATTAACATTTCCATACAAATGTCAGGATTTCATAAAGATTAATAAATAAAATTATGAGATCAGGTACAGCTTTAAGGAAATCATGAAAATTACTTGTGTAAAATTTAAGCTTCAAATACAGTCAAAGATGAGTCACCGAAACTAAAATGCAGGAAATGATGCCGAATTTGGACCAATCCTTGAACCAATTCATGAGCTTGAGAATGATGAAGTAAAAGAAGGATAGAATAGCTTAAAAAATCATCCTTAATACTAATTAGGAAATACTTGTACATGATAATTGTCTACCCATTAATTATCAACTTTTCATCTTTCCATTAATTTATTGTGAAATTATCATTTTTTTTATATTAGGAATTTTGTTATGTTTGAAAAATAGGATATATATTTGAAAAATAGATTTTAGAAACTAATAAAATTATCCATTTCTCATTTTTAATTTATTTATATAAATATGTTGTCAGATAAATAGAAATGTAACCCATTTTTTATTATATTATTGAATTATTGGAAAAGTATTATTTTTTGTTTAGTTGATTTTGCTGTTAGAAATTTCTTCATTATACATTAAGATAACATAAAAAATTATATATGAAGTATTGAGAAACAACTTAGAGTAAAACTTTATGGGTGGAGATTAGGCAGGGTGAATACAAGGAGCAAGCCTTTTCCATTTACATGAAGTCGCTGCCTTCTCTAATATACCATCATGAATTTTATTTTTCACATTTTGATTTCTTCTATATTCTTCCAGGTGGTTGCATTAATTTGGGAGTTGATTTTTATTCCAACAACGAACCATTCTTCCTTGATATGTTAACTTATATTCAACTGTATATTTACTAAACAAAAAATGTATCCCTGCTCATGATTTATTCTGACATCAAGTACAATATGTTTAATTAATCAATTTATGTTGTGAGTCAGAACATTTTATTCAATCTGTTCATTCAATCAAACTGAAGGAAAATTATAAATTTTACGATGATATTGATTATCAATATTATCTAAGCCATATGACATTGGAATACATATGTAAAGACATTATATATAAAGACATAATGGACATTGGATATCATTAAGGCTTAATGTTGCAGAGGTATTCATTCCCAGGATTAACTTTATAAGAAAAAGTGTATAATGGATGGACAAATAAGCTTTAGATATAAGATGATGTATGTTCCTTGTACTGAATATTTTTAAGAGTAGTATGAGTGCTTTGATACCTCATCCTCATGAATCGTTAGAAAACCAAACCATGTTGCAAGTTTATATCTCTCTGCTATATCATGGTTTGATATCCTTTAGCACCTTAATATTAGAAGCTAAATCCTGACTAAATATAAGCTAATTTTTGGACTTGTCGGTAAGGCAATAGGTTAAAAAGTGACTTATAAAACTATGATTACCATCTCTCAAAGCCTAAATTATTATAAATTCAGACAAATATTAATATATTTCTCAATAATTCCGATGTAATATTGATAAGATAAATAACAAATATAAATGAGACAAGACTTTAAAATAACTACCTCTATTAAATTTACATTTAACAGAAGTCTTATATAACTGAATATTTCCAAATTTAGTGCATTTGGTCAACTTCTTCAACCTCAGATGCCAATAGAAAATCAAACCAATCTATCCATCCTGATATTTATACCTATCTGCTATACACAACCAAAGTGGTATGATTTCAATTAGTAATGTAATAAAAGATATTGAACCACTACTAAATGCAAGCTAATTTTTGCCTGTGTAGAAAAAGCAATAATTTCATTTTCTTTTCTTTTAAAACCTTTTTTGGGGTGTATATTAATTTACAAAATTCTATTTTTCATACATCTAATTTCAAGCTTATTATTCTTTACTATATTACAATATTACAAAACTCTTTTGCCCATGTTAATTCTGTCATTCCTTACTATATTTACTTCTTTATAGCTCAAATATGTTTTGATTGACTTTTGTTATCCTTCCTTATTGCCATGGGCACTAAATGTCCTAAGGTTGGCACTGATTGTCTGCACTAGCGGATCCATTATATAATTTTGGGGGAGGGAGGCTTCAGCCCGAAAGCTTTTTTAAAAATAAAAATGATGATAATTACTTTTTAAAAAAAGAAAGAAACTAACTATCTATATGAAATGGTGTTTAAGTGATTCCTTAATTCCTTTTAAATATAATTACATGAACAATAATACTTTAAGATATGATTTTTTAATATATTTTTCCATAAAACATGGTTATATTTTACCATTTTGGGAAAGGAGGAGCTTCAACCCGAAAGCCCCCTCCTCCCCAGTAGATCCACACTTGATTGTCTGCATAGTAATCTGCATTTACTTTGTATATTAGTCTAATTATTATTGTCTACTTTGTATGATCATGTAAGAAACAGCCACTGAAAAGTTAGTAAGAAAACAGTAATATTAATAACACAGCTAATGGATGCAACCGGAGCAATTGCCTTATGATGGCGATCATCAGGGGCTTTCGCCACTTTTAGGAATTAAAAAAAAAAAATTAATTTAAGCTTATAAATAAAGCAATTGTATTAGAGAAATTTAGGAGGAGATTACATCATTACTCGGGGGTACTGAATGTCTAAGGCCGGCACTGAATGGATGGAAGGATAAAAAATATATATATAAGATATAAGGATGGACAAAAGCTCTAAAACATTGCAGTATAGTGGAGAATAAAGTTTTGAAGTCATGTTACGTGTAGAATTGCAGTACACAAATATCCTATAAGACAATAGTTTAATTCATTATTGAACAATGAACCCATAATTAACATGGTTGGAACTCTACTAATTGCTCGATTTATTGATAAATATTAATGTATTCATCAGTGGTACTAAATGAGTATAGTACATTTAAATTAACAGTATACTAGAACATTTTAATTTATTCATAGGTTTAAATCTGCTTGAAAGTAGCAATCAGAATAGGAGAGATTGATGAAAAGAGAGATAGTGGATAGGATGAAAAGTAAATAATTATATTAACAACCAATAACAAATCTGGTTTAGTTATACAGTTGTCCTTATTGAAAACCATACATAATTCTTGCAATAACTGAAATGATAACTTAAACTAGTCTAATTATGTCCAATATCATAATACAACATGTTATGGATTTCAAAAGAAATGTTATTTGTAATATGTATGTCTATTTTCCAAGAATAATATAAAACTGAAGTACTTAAAATACCTAAAAAATCAGCTAAAAAATAATAATCTAAAAAATAAATTACATTGAAACAAAATCAAATAGTAATTTATCAAGTAGTTAAAAGCAACATATTCTTACCACTAATATTGTATATTTAGTAACAATAAACGACTAACATAATTAAAATTCAAACTAAAACGGTAATAGTAGCAGTGCAATGGGCCAAGCTATAAGAAAAAATATGGTGGATTTCAACTAGATTTGGCTCCAAGTCTTAAGGTCTACTGCTGCCAAAATTGAATCAATCATCGCTAATTGATTTGATTATCCTAACTTAAGAATAAAACAATATAATTTATTAAGAATTACTCACATTTTATATTATTTTCACATGATGAAAGTATTCTATTTCGAAAATTTGAAAAGAAAAATATTAAGTACCTACTTTAGATTATTGAATCTTGAATATATTCATTTAATTCGATTAAATTAATGAATCACTCAGAAAACTTATTAATATTTCAATTACATATTTGATCACCAAAGTTTTAAAAAATATAATAATTATTAAGATTCCGATTTCGTTATATTGAATTAGTCACTTCCTTGGAAACAACCCAGAAATATTCATTAGTATATTTATGAAAATACTTTTCATTCAAATAAAAAAAAAAATATTTTCGAAACTATATTGTTATATGTTAATAGTTAATTTAAATTAATAACTTATCATAGAAATGAAGCTGTTTATAATTGTTTCATATAATCATATTTCAATTTCGCGTGCTCTTTTTTTGAGCGGGGTGGGGAGGGGTGAAATAGGTCCACCAATTCCACGCCCTTTAGGCTATACAGAGTTGTCCCAGAGTTAAAATTTTTCCCGTCACGAGGAAGGGAATTCTTAACTATTTGCATCATGTTGATCTATATGTCTGTTTCTGTCACACGATAACCGCTTGAACCGTGGACCGTATATTGTTTACGGTTTGGAGGGTTTCGTCCCCTCCTTCTCATCCGATCTAGGACCCTTTGTGCAATATAAAAACTTGCGTAGTTGACAGATCTTAAAGCTTCGTTTTGGATTTTTTATTAAATAAGTATACATATATATATATATATATATAACGAGAATCAAATTAATCCTGCAGTTTTATAAACGAGGGTTGAAGGCAAGACGAGCAAAGTGATGAAAAAGTAGTCCTGGAATATTTATGGTTAGAAAACACTTTACCAATTAAAACTTTATTTTTATTACGTTTCGGCTCTCAGGTCACCTTATTCAGGCCTACTCCCCTTAAAACAACCAAAAAGATTTATTTAATTAAAAATTCAGGAACTTTACTAATATAATCTAAGAACCTGATTATATTACACAACCTGAGTGGAATTACACAGTTGAAGTATTTCCATTTCTGAAATAAATTACATAGTGGAATTTCCGATCTTGTGTGATCAGTAAGTTTTATACGCAAAGAATATTTATAAATAAATCTATCCTTTCCCAAGATAAAGTATATTTGTTCTAAAGACTTTACCAAATTTCAAAAATATTTAAATATAAGGGTTTTGAAATAAATAAGAAAAATACTCAAGTATGCCTTCAAGCGAGAGGGAATTACCTACTTCCCTTATTTTTTTTTAACTACAGAATTAAAAAGTAAAAAAATACTCAAGAACCCCGATAGATATTTATCAAAAACATTAAATTATTCAATATTTACTAATTCTAATAATAAATCACAAAAATAATTTATAACGGTTGGTATAAACAACTTTCCAAACCATTCATTCATACACATCAGCTGATCCTCAAGGTCACAAAAGCTGTCATTTCATAACAAACGCTGTGATAAGTCATGTCTAGTAGTAGTAGGACCGGTTCTGAACATATGTAGTCTCTGTTTTCAATATTTTTTTTAACTTTATTAAAAATGTTCTTAGGTTTCGATTTTAGTACTCAACAGGTGAATGCATTCACATAATTCTTATATCTTTAAGGGTTATCTTATGAGTTATCATGTTTTAGATTTGAAGTGTTTCCCATACTTTTATTTAATAATATTACTATATGTATACATTTTTTTTAGTTGAAAAGTATTGTTGTTGATGAGAAAAGAGATGTAAAATATGAAGCTCATGTTTCCTTCGACCATGATTTACCAGAGTTCAGGTAAGATAATTATTAATGAAAGTAAGTTATATTTTTGCTTGAACTTTTATTCACATTTTTCATTCCTCATTGCAAAAATAAAATAATATGTATTAAATCTTCATTTGTTAATATTGAGAAATCAAATTGTCTGAGAGTATCATAAAAAATATTTTTTATTTTACTGATAAGTGACGTTTCAGAAAACTAATTTTAGATTAATACATAACCACTCATCTCCTGTTTAGCCGATGTTTTAAAAAATCATCATTAAATGTAAACAACTCCAAACTAATCGTTAAAAGATTATTACTCTCACTCAAATATATGTTATATTTTCAAATAAGAAAACAGAACACAAAAGCCATCAGTATAATACTAATATAAAAACAAAAGGAATACGATCATCTCATGCTCTATTTAAAAAATAATGTAAATGACTCTTAGGCGAATGCTAAGACAAATGAACAGGAAACATAATTTTATTCAATATATATAAATTTATAATTGAATTTTTCTTATTACAATTTTTTTTTTTTATACTTATCTGTTCTTACAAGTATGCTTTCAACTTCTAGTCCTTGTTAGCATTATGTAGAAAATGTGATCCTCTTCAATATACTTAGATTGAGCACCGGCACTCCAAGCCAGCATCGTACAGCATCCTTATATCTATCCTGGGAAGCATTGCTGTTCCAGTTGGCTTGCTACCTAGCTTGGTTTAAAAATACTAAAGAGGATCCCATTTTCTATACAATGAAAGAAGGGATTAAAATGTCAGTGGAGCGGGGTAACGATTGATTATAATTGATTTTAGCTGATTGATTATAATAAATATTTGATGTTGATTTTTCAAATTCTTTAAAGCTGTAGGTGGATGAATTTTTGACAGTTCAATTTGCTTCAACTAAGAAGTCAAATTGCTTTCTAGCCGTGTCCATTTTAGCATAATAATAGGATAATGTGTTTGTTGTTCATAAGCAGTTCTAATAAATATTCTACTCTGATTATCTCCATTGTAAATATATTATAAATGAAAAAATTAACACCAAAATGGTTAAAATATATATTAGTTTAAATAAAATATTTAATGTAAACAATATAAGTAGACATTGTTATGTATGTCGAAATATCTGGTTTTATTTCATTCTTTCTTTTAACAAAATGAGGTGTTTTATATTGCTTGAAATAAAAATGGTTTTGTAGAATGGAAACAATAAATCAATAGAACCAATAAAACTGCCATTGTTTAAAACTGTACTAAAAAATTTCTTAAATAATTGGTATATAATTGTTTTTACAAAATATTTTTAAATATAATTATATAAACATCATGTTTAAATATTCATAGTAATTTCAATTAGATGAAAATATGGATTAGATGGAATATGTGTTATAACAATTAATTTGATATTTATATCCCAAAATTTTATTTTTGAAAGGACCCATAAAGGTGTGGTCAGAAGTGAAAAAAAAGTGGTTACTGCTCCAGTACTTATGTGGGTTAAGGCTGTCGATATGATTCTTGAACGACTACGTGTCTGCGGTGCTGATTTTTCAAAAGTTATTGCAATATCTGGTACAGCTCAGGTAATTTAATTTAAGAGTTAATTCCTCATTTTATATTCAAATCCTAATTTATTATTTTCAGGTTTCTTCATAAAAAAAAAAAAAATTGGCTATCAATTCCTGAATAAAATAAAGCTTATTTTTATAACATTGCAAAAATAATTCAAATAAGAACTTACAAAGAATCTACAAGAATCAATCAAATGTTTCAGCTCATAGTCAAAACCTTTTTTTTTTTTCTTTTTTTTATTATTATATTTATAACTGTATTAAGAAAAAATACATTCAGTAAATGAGATAACAGAAAATAAAAACATGAAAACACTTGTTGAGAAACTACCCACTGGCATCACTGTAAAATGTTTAAAAGTAAACTCCAATTTACTTAAATATAAATTTTAGATATTTAGATAGATTATAAATTTAGATAGATTATATATATAATATAAATTTTAGATGAACCAATCTATTAATTTTTGTCGATTTCTAATTAGTTTTTGTAGTCCCCTGGTTTATATCATAAAATTGAGTAAATGTTTGTGGATAAAAAAAGTTTGTTTTTCTTATCTGCTGAGAAAACCAAGGATGGAGCAAGAAAACCCTAATCTGACTTTGAAACTCATAAAGTTTTTTTTCCCCTTAGAAAAACATTCACTAAATGAGTTAGACTTGTAAATCAGAGCTATATTACTTACTTCAATTTAATATTTATATATTACGCAATAAACACACTAACTTTAGTATTAATTTTTTTTTTGTTTTATGTATTTTTTTACTTTTGATATTATTTCTAGAGTTATCTGAAGTCATGAAATTTTTACAGCAACATGGCACTGTATACTGGGCAGCAGGAGCAGAGGAACAGCTTAAAGGACTTGATGATGCACAGTTCCTTCATTCTCAGTTGGCTTCGTGCTTCACTATTACATCTTCCCCTATTTGGCAGGATTCTAGTACGACAGCCCAGTGCAGGGCTTTGGAGGAAGCAGTCGGAGGGCCAGAAGTATGTTGCTGATTTTCTTTTGTAAAATATTTAAGAAGAAAATTAATAATATCATTATAAGGAGGTGTTATAAAAAAAAAAAAAAAAAAATCACTTTTACTGGGTGGACCACTATAAGTAAAAGTCATAAATAAATTGAGTTCATATAAAGGCAGATATATAAAACCAGGGAAAAAGATAACCAAGTATGTAGAATAATAATGGGCTTGATAAGTTTAATTTTATTTTAACCAAAAGCACTTCTAGCATTTGCAATCCAGTCACTTCATGTGTTGTTCAAGAACTGATTTATTTATTTATTCGAGTCCATACATATATTTATTATTAATATATTTTTTTAGATATAACTGAAATATTTAAATTTTTATTTTTAAGGAATTGGCTAAAATAACTGGTTCTAAAGCCTTTGAAAGGTATTCGGCAGCTCAGATAATGAAGATATTTGAAACGAAGTCTACTGCATACAAGAACACTGAGGTATTTAGCCTTAATTAGGTCTGGCCAACCTAAGACTTGCTACGTTAACTTTTGCGGCCCATTGACCAATTTTATATTTCCATTGCAACTTTTATTTCTTGTATGTATACAAATGATTGATTATTAAATAAATTAAAATTTGCATGGATCATTTTTATTATGCACAAATGTGACGATAAACTCCGTTTTTTAATTTGATTTCCATTAATGTCAAATGTTATAGAGCAGAGCAGAGCAAGTACCAGAAATATTTAGTGAAAAGAAAAGGATTAAAATATATCTCAATCATTAATGCACAAACGTTAATGATATTGAATCATAGTATAACAAGAATGTTTTATTCTTTTTTTTTTTTTTATTATATTTTTTGGAGGCATGGTTACTCAAAGTGCAGTTAACAGTTATATCAGGAGTCCTCAGAGTGGTCCATGAAGACTTTTGGGTTGGCTAAGCCTGATCTAAATTTTGTTCTATTTTTGTTAATGATTTGAATTGTTGTTTACAGTTATTATTTCATTTTACTATATTTTACACTTATTATACAATATTTTAGTCATAAGTTATTTTACCATTAATGTTTGATATCATGTTCATATTTTATTTCAGAGAATATCTCTTATAAGTAGTTTTGCCTGTTCACTATTCTTAGGCAAATATGCACCTATTGATTATTCTGATGGATCTGGAATGAACCTTTTAGACATCACTGAGAAAAAGTGGTCAGACAAATGTCTTAATGTAAGTTAATTTTATTATTGCTTATAATTAGTGAAACCAGAGTTTTATAATAAGTTAATGTTAATACTCATGGAAGTCTATTTTTTAAATTAAGTCTCACTATAATCATATCCTATTCTTCTTTTAACCATGCTCTTTTTTTTCATTAGTAAAACTAAAAGATTTTTGGAGAAGGAATTTTTGTTTTTTATTGGTTATTTTGTCATAAAAAAGAGCTGGATTTGTTCCACTGTTATTTCCAGTACCAGTACCGAAGTAGTACTTTCAATTTTTTGATTAATTAGCAACTATCGGTGGTTACAGAGAACAAGTTAGCAAATTCATAATTTGTAAAATGTTCCTCCCAAGCCCTTTACTCAATGAAGTCATCAAACTCACTAGTCTAAATCTTTGTGTGAGTAGGGAATAAACATTATCATGAAGACTATTTTCTTACTTATCAACTTGAGGATGGGATGGCTGAGCATGTTGAGATCTGGGTTCCAGAGTGCCCAGTTCTGAATGTTGTGGGTTCGATTCCCACCTGGGTCGGTTAATTTTCATTTATTTGGGGTTCCGGGAAATGAATATGTCATTCTCACTCTAGTAAGTACGCGGCAGCAACCTCAAGGTAGCGGTCAGAGGTTGGCAATGCTTGCTGGATCGGTATCTCCTCCTGTACTAGTATCATTACTATTACTTATCAACATTGATATTTAAAATAAAAAGAACCTCAATATAATGAAAATAATTTTTTTCAAAATTATTTAACTGTATACAAATTAATATACTTTCAGTAAATGTGATACCGAGAAATGCATGGCATGGCGAGGCTTGTAGAGAATCTACCAATTTGTAACACTCTAATTAAGTATCTAAATTTGGAGATCATGAGGCTATCTTCTTTTTAGACACATTTTGGGAAAATTTAATTAAAAATTTTTTTTTTGCTTACTTGGAAAGCTCCTATTTCATCCTGTTGCCAACAGTGTAGTTTAATCATATATTATAATTAATAAATTAATTTGGATTATACCTACAAAACAGTTCAAAAGAATTAAATAAAACAAGATGTCCAATGACAAATGACCAATATATATATATATACTAATTATACTAATGAACTAATTATAAGGAAAATTATAGATTGTACCTGATGATTTTATGGATACATTATCTTTTAAACTATTTATAGGAATTTTAGTTATTCACTGGTAGAAAAACTAAAATATTGTTTACACTGAAATGCTGTAAACTCAAGATCAGCAATATTATTATTCTAGAACTCCTTACCCAACATTCCTTTATTCAGTCTCTTAATACCACTCCCCTAATCCAATCTCTTAATACTATCCAAATTCTTAATACAGATCTCAATCTATAGATCTAAATATCCCCTCCCATAAAACTATTTCCTTCAGAAAATCATTTGTCATTCATGCTACCTCCTTTTGGAATTCCTTACCTATCTTCATACGTCTAACCACATTCACAAATTCCTTTAAACAACTCCTATTCCACCACCTACTACACATTCAAATTTCCGCAAAGTTGTAAGAATTTTTAGGTTATGTTATTACAATTGCTTACCAATAGTTAATTGATAAGAGCCATTTTATTTCCTTTTATTTTTTTGTTCTTAGTATTTTTTTTATATATATTTGGACAGGACCGAAGTTAAAGAAGTGATCAAAAAGTAAAAAACTTAGATGGAAACAATATCTCACTGATGCAAACTACAGGCTCTATAAGGAACACAAAAATAAAACTATTGATTGTCATAACAGCTGCAAAAAGAAAAGCATAGGACGAATTCTAAAATAAAATGGAAGAGAATTTACATAAAAATCAAAAGTTATTTTTCAGAACTATCCAAATTATGCGCCAAGAAAAAGAACCTGAAATAAACCATATTAAAGACAAGCAAGGTAACTCTCCAATTCTTAGTAACTCTAAACACATCATGAATATATAGACAGTGTACTTCAAAGAACTACTAGAGAATGACAGCAGCTAGCAGAAAGAGGTAGAACAGAACCATCTGTTATAAATAATCCAGGAAAAAGAAGACAACTTAATAAATGAAGATGTAATTGAAGAGGTCTTATCCAGTCTCAAATTAAGTAAAGCAGCCGGGGAAATTGCATTGGAACTATGGAACAAAAGATACTCCAATACCTTCTTAACCTAATATGGATAATAGCAAAGAAGTTCCAAGAAATTGGAAAGTGTCTGTTATCATACTTATATTTAAAAAGTGAGATAAGAGAGAGTGACAGAATCACAAAGGCATATCCCTTCTTGTGTACCAAGTGAAATTTATTCTTAAATCCTAGAAAGACGATTCAGGAATGTAGTAGAACCAATATTGGGAGAAGATTAGTACAGATTTGGAAGAAACAGAAGAACCCACGATCTTATCTTCTCACTAAGACAAATATCTGAAGGACATAGAAAAAGGTAAAAAAAGGTTTTGTCCATTTCATGAAGGCCTTTGACAGGATCAGGAATAAAGACATTGTAACAGCACTCAGGGAGAAAAATGTCAGTATAGGACTTCAGAAAAGAATGCAAAGTCTCTACAAGAAACAGCGTAGTGTGGTGAGGTCAAGTAACCACACATCAAGAGACTACCCAAGGCATCAGGCAGGTATGCAGCCAGTTTCCACTGCTTTTCATCATAACTCTGGACATGTCATAACCCTGAAAAGACCTAAATTTGAGACCCTATGGTTTAGGATACAGAAACCTTAGGCCCACCCACCTTGATCATCTTGGCTTCGTGGACTACTTAATTTTATTTGCAGGAACCTCCAAGAAATTTCAGAAAGTCTCTTACGATCAATTGGAAATTCAGTTTTGATGGATTTGTTTGAGGATATTTCTACATTCCAAAACAACAAATTTATTTCATAAATGAAAGAAAGATTTAAAGATTATTTGTCTAAGTGTGGGCAAAAGAGGTGTTACCAGGCAACCTGAAAAACTGAAGATAACAAAAAATAATTACAAGTGCCCAGGAGGGCTATTAACTCTAAAATTAATTCCCTGACCCAGAGAAAACCCCGTATAGTCGAACATACTAGGAAGGGAAGAAAAAAATAAATAAATAAAAATTATTTGTTTAGGTTATTTCTTCTTTTGGATATTTCTCAAAAATTAATATTTTCTTACCTTGTAGTAGTTACAGGCTTTACACTAAGAAACATACAATTTAGCTGTGGTTTCCTAAATTTTTTGTTCTAGAATTTTTTAAAATGTTTATTATTTTAACATAACTCATATTAAATATTTGAGTATAGATAAGAACTTAATATATTTTTAGGCATGTGCACCTGACTTGGCTCAGAAATTGGGTGACCCTGTACCATCCAACACAATATTGGGAAAAATATCAAACTATTATGTCGAGCGATTTGGATTTAGCGAGGAATGTTCTGTTGTAGCTTTCACTGGCGATAATCAGTCTACAATTGTAGGTAAGTAACCTTCATGCTACAGTTTCTGGAGGCTCATATAATTCAAAGTTTTCTTAACTGTTGGTGATTCATAATGATTTTTTTTTTCCATTAGAGATTTGTTAATAAGAAAAAGAAAATAGCGTTTTGTTTCATTTATTACAGCCATCAATGTATTGGTTTATTTCTTTAAGTCATCTGTAAGGCTTCGAAACTTTTAATAATTTGTTTTTATTTATATAAACATTTTTACTTTTTAGGTCTTGGCTTAAAGGAAAATGATATTGCAGTTTCTTTAGGTACTAGTGACACTTTGATAATGTGGACTTCTTCGCCGAGTCCTATTGATGGTGGTCATATTCTCCTGAGTCCTGTCCCTTCTCATGAGTATATAGTACTCATATGGTAAGTTTAATAATATTTATTGATTAATTATTCACTGCAAACGTAATTTTAAAAAACTTATCATTTACTAGAACAGATCAAGACACAGTATATTTAAAACATTGCATTGTTTCTTGCTTCTAATTTTCCACGAGTGTCAATTGTTTTTCTGTATTACTATTGAATCTAAATATATAATTTGTCTTCTAAATATAGTGTTAAATTTTTATTTAATAAAGTGAGAAGTTAACTTCAATTCTTTAAAAAATAAAACTTTAGTCTTAAAAATAATTTTTTGTATGAATAAAAATATTTTATGATTATTAAACTTATATTTATGAAACTTTATATAAAATGTACAGGTATATATGTATTATTTTATTGCAGTTTTAAAAATGGCTCTGTTACTAGAGAAAGAATACGTGACAGTTATGCTTCAGGTTCATGGGAAATATTTGATAAACTTTTAAACTCTTCCCCGAGAGGAAACCTTGGATATTTTGGTAAAAAAAAATCATTAGTATAGTTTAAAAATTAAAATTATTTATATTTTGGAGATTTATTTAGTTATTTAGGGAGAGGGGTAGCTCAGTGGTAGGGGACTCAGCTTCCAATGCTAAAGGGCCAGATTCAAATCCCAGCTCATGGTAGAAAGTTTATTTATTCTGTTTCATTGGCCGTGGGGCGACCCTGGATCGGGAGACTCCTGGGCCACACCTAGCCTCTATAGAGTGGGTACCCTTAATTAAATAATTAATTAAGGCAGAAAACTTGGCGGTTGAGCGTGATCTCGTTCAAAACACCTTGTACAACTGTTGACCTAGAAACAGTGCTTTCCCTAAATTATACTGAACCCAAGACCCTTCATGGGTTGTTGTGGTACAGGTTTTTTTAAATTTATTTTTTCAGTTATTTAGAAGGCGTCAACTGATTATAACATAGCTATAATCAAAATCTCGCTGAACAGAATCTTAAAAGCTTAGCAAGCCTTAGCTTAAAAGCTGAGAATATGTTTTTCTTATTTATTGCTAATCATAATAATTAGATGCATTTGTAAAATACAGTTTAGTGAAAATTTAAAAAAAATATATATGTCCCTATGTCTTTCTTCCTCCATAAGTTTTAAAGAAAAAAACATTGATTGACTTATAAAATATGTTCCAAGCCATCTAGTGTAGTACATACTATAAATTTTAAGCTAATTATTAATAATTAATCAATTATTTTGTTTCTAGGCTTGTATTATGACCATGATGAAATCACAGTTCCTCTTGTTGGAGAGTTTAGGTTTGACAGTTATAACAACATTATGGACAAGTTTCCTGCTTCAGAAATTGAAGTAAGGTCACTACTTGAAGGTCAATTTATCGCAAAGCGATCTATGCTGGAAGAGTATGGTTTGGATTTAGGTTAGGAAATAAAAATGATATTTCTACTTTTTAATTTTTTTTATACAATAAAATATTTTCTTTCAACATAAAATCATCCAGTGTCATGAATTTCTATAGTGGGTCTAACTTTTATTATTAGCTTCATATTTTCAAAACATTCATGTTGGTTATCTTTACTTTAAAATTTAATTCTCGGGGTGTGTACATCTTTTGGTAAAATGATTGTGTTGTAATTGTTCAATTAAGTAATTCTAAAAATTGTTTCCAGGTAAAAATACAAGAATTATTGCTACTGGTGGGGCATCCATTAACATCGGTATTCTTCAAGTTCTTTCAGATGTTTTCAATGCTCCAGTATATACAATAGTAATTGCTTAAATTATTACTATTTTTTCTTTTGACTTATTTAGGACATTTAAGAACTATCCTTATTCTCTTTCTGGTACTCATATTTAGTTTTTAATGTTTTCATTTTAATCTTTTAAAACAAATATATTAGATAAAATTGTTGGTGAGTATTACATTTTTATTTTTATTTATATATTGCACTCTCCCTTCCTTGTATTTCGACAATACGGAATTCCACTTTTGTACAACACAATAAAATTTAAATATTTTCCTGTCTATCCTGGAGTCACCCCGGATTGTAATTGTGGAAGTCTCCTTCATCTTACTCCCATATTGAAATGGGCTATACCTACTACTTCCTTCCACCAAACACAAATGCCTCCTAGTAGTTTTAATTTTACAACTATCTGTTAATTCTAACGAAAATTGATTTTATTTTTTCTCTTTCTCTTTAATGGTTCTATAAAATTGGTAATATTGGTGTTTTCAGTTAAGTTTTAAAAATTATAATTTTGATGTTTTTAATAATAATAATAAAAAGAAATAATTTTAACATGTCACAACTATAGCTTGTATTCTTACATAAAATACCTGGGCATAATGGTACCTGATATGAATAGTGTTAGGGGTCCCTGACTTAGTAAATTTATACTGAAATTTAAAAATCCTGAACTATGATGAATTTTTATTTACACATATTAAAATTTCAAAAGTATTTACAATATTTATCATAATATCTCTTTTTATTTCTATCAAACAATAGCTTATTTCATTCAATTAAATTTATACTATAAAAATGATATGTTCCAAGTTTAGGACTTGAGAAATTTATTTTCCAATACTTGAAAAACAAACTAAAACCATTTACACTCCAAAAAATATGTTTATATCAATTGCAGCTCTTACTATTTACATATATTTGATTAATATTTTGCCATTTTATTTGTATTTTTTTCATTCGAAAACCAAAACATAATTTAATTATGTTATGTAATTATGTATTAAGTTTGGTATACTGTTTTAATGTTTATTTATAATAGTTCTTTGGTAATTACTTGTAACACATATTTTAAGTTCTTGTTGCTGATAGAGTCAATTAGTTATTCATGTTAACAGGAAGAATGCAATTCAGGAGTTTTGGGAGCAGCATTCAGAGCCCAAGAAGCGCTAGGAGGAGGAGGAGATCACCTGGTTACTGATGGCTCGATGACTCTTGTTGCAACACCTTTTAAAAATGCTGGCGAGGTTATAAGCTATAATTTTATATATTTTTTTTTAATCTTGCCCAACAAATCCATTCATTATCTGTAGTTTCGGTTGTAAAACATGGTAACTGGCAAAGTGAAAAATTACACAATGTTAAATTATTTGTTAATTTAAAATACTTTATCTTCAACCAGCTGTCACTTACCATACCTTATTACAAACATTGCTCTTTAAAGAATCAAATTTCCTACAGATTCTATCAACAACCTATGAAATCAATCATAAGGAATTCAATGTTGAAAAATCTCCAATTCGCAAATTTCTCATTCTCCTTAACAATTAACTTTGATAACATTGAAAATTTAAGGTTAAGGAGAGAAGAAAGTTGACCGGATGGAGTGTGACAATTATCGAGGCATTGGATCTCTCTGCATAACAACACATTTTAATTTTGTATTGGAGTGATCAGGCATCCAAACTTGGGTCACACTGATTAATAGCATGGGCAGTTGGGATATGCAGACCACTTTGATATTGCTGCAAGGAACGAAAGTGCCCCCAGAGAGGCGGTCCTTGCTCTCGAAAAAGAAGAAAATAAAACTAGGCTTGGCTATCAATGAAGTCAAGATGAAGTATAAGTGAAAAGAAGGGGCAGGGGCGGGAGCTAGTTTGTTTGAAGTGTTTCTGTACAGATTTGAAACTGTGCAAAGTTTCATATAACTGAGTTCAGAGGTGAACATTCTGAAGGACGTCTCTGTGAAAATTTACAAGAGTATCGCTGCAGCTACCTGTAGCTTCTTTGGTCTGGCCAAGCATTTCAATAGTAGGTACCTCTCACACAGAACAAAGATCAGTCTGTATAAGACCTTGTTGCTCCCTGTTCTTACATATGGGTCAGAAGCTTGGGCCTTCAGCAGAGTTGATGAGACAAGGCTGCTAACGTTGCAAAAGAAAAATACTGAGGAAAATTTTTGGCCTGGTTAGAGTGGGAAACACCCGAAGAAGGCGGAAGAATATGGAGCTTTTTGTGTTGTATGATGAATTGATTTTGTCATGTTTATTAAGCTCGAGAGACTTCCATGGGTAGGCCACCTGGTTATGATGGAGGATGGTGTGTTGATTTGGTCTGCCAAATGTAAGATGGGCAAACTATTTTCCTGCAGACATGCGGGTCCTTTTTATCACAACACTGGAGAGTCAACTGGGGAAGGCTGTTTTTTTTTTTTTTGTATGAAATTGTACTGCTGCCAAGAAGGCCTATTGTACACCCTAATTAGTGTCTCTCTTAATCAGAGCATTATTCCAGCAGTCTCTATGAACCGAAGTAGGCTTGTCAGATTGACAAGCTTGTTAGTCTTGGGGTCAACCAACCTATCATTTTCCAATAAACGGAATCTTAGCCCAGAAAACCTGTCACACTAAGTGATATGATAACTGTTTAATCCTCCTGACCCAGGAACCTACAAAGAGGGAACTCCATTAGCCCGAGTTTGAACATATGATAGTTCAGTTTATAGTGACCAATATATATATATTGCTGTAATTTTCTTGAGAGAGCTCCTGCTCAAGTTAATTGGCAGATTGCTCCTTTTTGGCCAGATTACATTCAAGAACAGCCTTGAATGAGTCTGTTTTTTTAAGCACCAATACTTCTTAGCTTCAACACCGTAAATTTTCCTGATTCTACTTTGGTTAGACACATGTCAATACCGCAGATAGTTTTGGGTGTTATGAGAGTTGTTTGTTATTGTTTTCTGGTTAATTTATCTGTCATCCCATTTCCATGAATACCAGAGTGTCCTGCTACCCATTCAATGGTTACTTTAGTAAGCCTATTTGTTTTATTTTTTTTATTTAATTAAAGTTTACCGTGTCATGCACAACAACAAAGGTTAGAGGTACCGTGTTCCTGTTACATAATTTAAATCATGTTATACAGTTTTCTTGTAAATCATTTTATACAGTACTCCCTCCTCATAACAAGTCGTCACCACCGGGTCAAGTTCGAGTTGATGAGGTTCCTTAGGGAAAGGAAATTGACCTGCTTTGACGAGGTATATTGCATCGATAGTGAAGGCTCTACGAGATATACGGATATCGTCGCATTTCCCAAGACAGGAAGGACAGCGCTGATCTTGGATCCAACTGTCCGCTTTGAGAGCAATGACCTCGATCCGGCGGGTGAAGTGGAAAGGGAAAAGAAGAACATGTACGATAAATGTATCCCTTTCCTAAAAGATAAATTCCCTGAGACCTTCGGAGAGAGAGAGTTCACCGTGAGAGGCCTCTGGTTTGGCTCTCGCGGAACTATCCCAAAAAGAACTAGGAGCTTCCTCGAGGAACTAGGTGTCGACATTAAGGACATAGCGAGGTTGGCTGAAAATATAGTCCTCGACTCCCTGGGAATCATTCACCACCACGTGCATGGCTAGTCCGAGAGTTTTAATTTATGTATTTATTTAATGAATAATTGAAAACAATAGAGATAAAGAAAGAGAAGTGAGAGAAAGGGAAACTAAATGTTAAAAAAAAAAAAAAAAAAAAAAAAAAGCATGAACAATGAAAGGAAGGAAAAAGTAAAAAAAAAAAAAAAAAGTAAAAATAATAAAAATGTATATACATATATATCTATTTTACTAATATTAACTAATACTTCTGTATATTTATATATATTGTCCAAAGGATAGAAGAGTATGCTGTGTATATAGCAACCCAATATAATTGGGCAACAATCCTTTATATTTTATATTTTATGAAAATAAAGTGTTTCTCTTTCCTTCAAAAATTGCAGCAAATTCTTCTGGTTTCCCTGTTCCTTGACAGTAGCTCCGGAGTCTTAGTGAAATTCTTGAAGGACATAAGCGCTGACAATTTTCCATGATGTGCTCGATGGTCAATGGTGTGTTGCAGCTGCTGCATCTAGGATAAGGCTTCCCTTCAAGGAGGTGTCCATGTGCCAGCCTAGTATGTCCTATTCTGAGTTAACAAATTATGGTCTGCTCCCGCTGGTTCCCTGTTATTTGAGGTAGTGATTCTGTATCTTCATAAATGTTCTTCAGTTTGTTGGTCTTTGGGACCTTGGATTCAGCACCGCAGCATTGAAGTCGTACAGCACGTGTTAAGTTTAGGTTCTGGAAATATGATGCAGGCTTCCTTGGCACCTGTGTCAGCCAGTTCATTTCCAGGTATACCATCATCGGCTAGGGATCAGAAAATTTTTATTAATTTGTTTGTTATCTGAATTAGTAGTGTTATGGAAAAGAAAATAGGGTTATTGGAGAATCGAAAATTTTGTATTTCTTTGAGGGCCGAATATGAGTCACTGCAAATTAGAATGTGAATGTTTTTTAATTCATTAATAAGACTTATGGATAGATAAATGGCATACAACTCAGTTGAGAAGATGGAATAAATGGAAGGAAGACTGAACTGGATGTTTTCGGTGGGAAGCACTACTGAACAGCCCCCACGATCTAGATGTTTTGATCCATCTGTAAAAAAATTGCTTTATCACTTCGGGAGGATTAATAGATTTTGCAACAGATTTAAGTGAGAAATCAAAACTAGGTGTATTATTCGTTCAAGGAGGTAACGGGTGAGGTGAAGATGTGCAAAACTTGGGTAGTGAATATGAGTCAGAAAGTGGTGGGAAACTGGTAAGGCGATTGGGTAGTTTTTAGTGTGAAAATTCAAAGAAATTAGGAGTGATTTTTAGGCGGCCTAGAAATTTAATCAGAAAATAGTGTCTATGCAGTTCCAACGGCCACTCTTGGGCCTCCCAGAGTAAGCTGCTGATAGGACTAGTTCTGAATGCCCCGGTCGCCCTGCGGATCATTAAGCCTACTTAATGATCATTAGGCTTATTTATTAAGCCTAGATAAGTTGTACAATAGTCCTTAACAGCCTTAGATCTAGTTGTATAGTTGCCCAGCACTCGTAGTACCGCTTGACTATCAGTATAGATAGAGATCTTCCGCCTCACTAACCCATCAGATAATAACTTTGAAGCACAGTGAGATATCGCCAGTATTTCAGTTGACGAGTAATTACATATTAGCAATTATTTTTGACACGAATGAAATGAGCCATGAAAATTGAATAAATTATCATTATGGAACAGTTTATATTTATTTTTTTTAAATTTTCAAGCATACCATAATATTAAATTTGCCATGTACTCTTAAATTAAAAATGAAATTTCCTTTCATTTTCAGATATATGATGAAATGGTGCCGAGATACAGAGAAGTAATCAACAAACTACTAAATAAATAAGACTGCTACTAGAGATAATCACGATCATCACAAGTGCATTTAGAAACATTCCCTTATTTATTTTTGTATATAATGAGACTACCTTTAATTTTATTTTTCCTGTAACTGCTTGCGAATATGAATATTGGAAAGGAGTGTTATCAAAAGGGTATATTAGGAATGTTTCCGTCCCTATTAATGACTACTAAATTATAGAAATTTTATGTAATAATATTATTTATATTTTATCACACCTACAAAAATAATTCAAGTCACTTTATTATTAATTATTTAAACTTAGGATTATAAGTTATTTGTTCCAATCATTCCACTATAAATATATTTTTATCAAATCCATTTGATGATATTCTATTATTAACGTTCTAGATCAGATTTTCTATCAAAACTTATAAGCAACATAAAGACTGGTAGTGCTTATTGTAATTAATGCAAATATTTGGTATATTTTTATAAGATAATAATGTTCCCTTTTCCATCTCTTTTTAGCTGGTCATTAAATCATAACAAAAATATGATAATTTCATATTTTTTATGAATGTGATAAATACATTCCTTTCTTTTTATATATTGTTTTGTTGAATTGTAATTTAAAAAGTACAATGAATGTAATCTTAATCCTTGTTAAAAAAATGGTAATAATAATGTTGGTTCATTGAAGGAAACTATAAAAGTTGATGCATCAGTCCAAATTCAAAAAGTTTAGCTTTCTAAAGAGTGATTTCTCTTAAAAAACTTAGCTTTAGATTAAAGTTTTATTTTGTGATTATCAGCTGTGTTATGTAATTCAATTCAGTACAAAATACCTATTAATAAAAGATTTATTTAGTATTAAGTATTAAGCCTTTAAGGTTTATCCATATCTTCATTCATTTTATGTTTTTCCATTAAATATATTTTAGTTAATTATTTTAAAAGAGCTAAGCTGCAAACAAATCTCGCATCTGAATGTAAGAGACATAACTCAATATAGTGTTTTTTATTTAGAATTAATATTAGAAAAACAATAGGATCTGAATATTTGTTCTTTATGGTTTTTCCACTTTTTCAACTAATATGGATATTTATTTATTTGAATCAAAGACTTGTGAGTTGCTCTGGGGTTAGAAAGCTCGTAAAAAAAAAAAAAAAAAAATCAAAACCTGAAACCATGATTTTGGTTTGTGCATCTTTTATCCTAAATTTAAAATCTTACATTACAATACAATAATATTATTTATGCCAGGTTTTTCATGGCTCTGTGATGTTAATAAGTCTTAAGACATGTTGAAAAAAAAATGGAAAATGTATTAAAATGGTGCTAAATACTTGTACTTTGCAATTTTTAACAATTAAAATTAAAATTTGATAAATTTTCTTCCTCATATTGCTATTTTCTTCATTTTAGTTTATTGAGTTTGAGAAATCCTGTAGTACTTTTATTGAGGAGTGATAGTAACTTAGTCTGCTTTATGTTAATTAAATTATACTTAGGTTAGGGTTCCTTAAGTTTGAGCTAAAGGTATTAAGCACCTATTTTCTTTTCAACAAAAATTCACTTGTAGTGTTGAGTATGTCTAAAGATAAAACTTGTTAATATTTATTTACTAACCAAAGAATATTCTTACATAATTTTGTACCAAGATTATTGAACCTATAATCTTAAGGTTAAATACTGTATATTATACTAAAGTCTATAATATTTTGTTGATGACATAGTTTTATAAATATTTTTAGCATTTGTTTTATTGTTGATAAAAAATTTATTGGTGCCTTTATCTAGTTCTTGCCTATAAATATTAAACAGGCTAATACTAGCAAATAAACAGTGTTATTTTACATGTGTGTTTACTTTTTATTGGAATAACTTTCTGTTCTTGCGATTCATTTAAGATACCAAAGAATATTGTTCAATTTCAGAATAAATTAAAAGAAAAAAGAAATTTGAATGGTTGTGGTGGAAGGCTTTGTAAATGTTTTTGGACTAGATTGCATGCTAAGACCCTACATTTAGCTAATACCGTGGTTTAGGCAGGGTCCAGATGCAGAAGCTTTTCTCCATTTAGTCAAAATAAAAGCTAAGCTAAGTGCTATCGATTACAACTTGATTACTTAATCCCAAAAACCACTAGTGCTAATCCAATAATTCCAGTTTTATATTGGGGCTCATTTATTTGTTACTGTCCCAGTTATAGGCCCTACTTATTCCAGAGAGACTAGTGTGTGATGTGAGCAGCCCAGTTATATACACCCACAGGTACATTTGGTGAAAATTATTGATAACAAAACAAAAGTATTGATTAGCTCTTTTTTTAAAAACTACTAATATGTAATTAAAATTGAACAAACAACTGACATTATAATAAAAGTTTATTAGTCAATTATAAAACAAACATATGGTCGTGTTTTTAACCAATGTATGGACATAAAACATCAAAACTGATTCCTTGGGATTGAATTTAACCCTTTGACGACAAGAAAATCCGATAGGAATTGAGACGAAATCTGGCCCAGGGGACAGTGGACTTATATAATTTTTTTTTGTACTCACCTTCCTTGCCTCAGGTACCAGGCAGAGAATTAATAGCACTCCCGGCACTGGGACACGAACTTGTACTTGTTTTATCAAATTATATCTTTCATCAGGTTGCCAGGCTTTATGCACAGGCATTAGCTGCTCGGCCACACCGCCCCCTGGTGGCTCTTTCTCAATAAACGATGTGGTGCTCATTGATCAATTCTACCTTCAAACTATTTCACAGCCTTCCCGTGAGCCAGTTGGTAATTTATCTGACTGATGATTATGGGCATTTTTGAACGATGACTTAAATAAAAAAGCATAAGTGGTAGCGGTGATGAAAATTATTCCACCCTCCCAGCTCATCGCCAGTAAAAAGTTAAAGGGATAAAATACTTCATTATAAATTTTTTAATAACATGCTTTCTGTGTTACATTTTGTTTTACTTTTCTATAAAAAAATCTACTTTCTAAATATTATATTCATCGTTATTGTTAATTCATACAGATCCTCTTTATTACCTTGTGGTTTTGTAGCATTACTTAACATTCTATTTGGTATTATTGTTCAATTCTATTTTGGTATTGACCTCATGAGATTCTTCTAGCCATTTTACTGTCTTTTAATAGTTCGAAGGGTTGAACTTTAATAGATCCTGGTTTCTTAAGTTTTATTGAAGATTTCTTACCAGGTTAGTTAACTTTAAGGACCTGAACCATCTTATGTAACAATGACATCTAACTTTGAACATCATTATATTTTTTGGGATCTATATTTAGTCAAAATAAGCTTCCTTACTCTAGATATTTTGAAATACAAATCCCTCGAAATCCCAATAATGGTTAGCCAAAGGTTTTTCATACTATGGGCTGCAATTCTCTTCAAAAATCATGGTATTCTTTTAGCACGACGATAATATTTCTGTTTTGTAAAATTTTATTTTAAAACATTGGGTTAAACAAATGTAAAAATAAGTTTTTTGTAAACTGTGAAACATGTAGTTACACATTTTTTGTATACGAGTGGTAAATAAAGAAAGCTATATAGGTTACTAATGTTTGTTGCTATCCTTTTCCACAAATAGTACTAATATACATAAAACAATAGATTAGAAAGATTGTTGGAATGATCAAAGTAATAAAGAAAATTTTTTTAAATTTAAATCCCGCTACTACCATAATGCACCAGCACAAAACACCTGACCACAATATGTCAACTATAAACTATCATGAAACTTTCATAAGTTATTTCACCATAATACTAATCATATACTGCTCAAACAGAAAAGTAAACTGCCGGCAAGAGTAGAAAGGCATATTATAACCATTCAGGGTCACATGATCCAAATACTGAACGAAAGTAAATACTTGTATTGCTGGTAATTTTTTGTAAAGAAGCCGCATATTTGAATGCATTGCCAACCAATTCTGTCTCTCACCTTTTTAATTTTTTTTAATGAAAGAAATTTAATATTTTAAAAAGAATTCTTATAAAAAAAAAGAAAAAAAAAAGGAGCAGTGTTTGTAAATGGGTAAATCATATCAAATTGCTTCCAATAATAGTTAGGATGAGATTTTATAATAAGGAAATCTTAGTTAGCCAATATAAAAAAGAAAAACCTTTATTTTTAAAATTAAACACATACAAATTATATGTACTTTATTACATCAAATAATGATGATGCCTGTAAGTATACAGTTTCACTATCTATTTCTTAGCAGTATTTAGGTACATACAATATCATTCTTTATACATAGAATATTACACACTTAAGTTAAAAATTAATTCATCATTGCACAGCTATACACTATTTTAACTAAAATCTATTATTTACAACTTATCCAGTTCTTCGCCATGCTTTTCCCTCCTTTTAGTAACTTTCCTATCTTTCTTTGGATCTGATGTTCTGGATTTCCTGGTTTTGGACTTTTTAGACTTAGAAGGATCATCCTTGGATGAAGATAAACTCCTCGGAGAAGCGGATGAATACTTAGAATTGCTATTGCTGTTATTTCTTTTATCATCTCTCGGAGAATCCGGTTTTTTTTTGTGGGAATTCCCACTGGATGAATATTTCCTTTCTTTTTTAGAACTATAATTAGAAACATCTATAAGATCATCATCATCAAAATTATTATCTTCATATTGGAAAAAATCATCGTGCCCCCTAGATCTGTGATACTCCAACTTTTTTTCAATAAAGTATTCATCCATTTCCATTTCGAGAGGAGGAGATGAAGATTTTCTCTCATCTTGAGATTTTGATTCATTGTCTGATTTTAATTTTTTCTTCACCTGGACATCCTCTTCTTCTTCTTCTTCCTCCTCCTCCTCTTCCTCTTCTTCATCTTCTCCTCCCGATGAGTGAGAACTTACTGGTGAAGCATCTGGAGAAGATTTGGGCGAGTTCTGTTCTTTTGGTGAGGAAATAGGTGATGTTTCAAGAGAATCGTTTTCTGATTGGGTTTCATCTGAATAATTAGGGTCACTGACTAGATGAAAATCCTGTTCTGTACACCAATTTTCAATTCTTGATACTAATTGACCACTATAACTTGTCGCCAATGTATATAAATCTTTTCTGTTGTTTTTTTCTACTTCTTTTATTTTATCAATCCTCCTATCGATAAAGAGGCATAATTTATCTATGACTGGGTAAACTGGTAACATCTTAATCAAAACTGTAATACTATTTCTTATCTGAATGTAATCTTTAGAGTCAAGCAATGACAAAAGAGACTTAGTGATTTTGTAATGCCACTTGTGGCATACATGACGGAAGTTTTCGAAATGAACATTATCATTGTCCTCAGATAACTCATTTCCAGATCTAAACTTAGTCTGAAACCCAGGCGTATTAGAACATTCTTTGTCAAAAGTCTCTTTACTTTTGTGCCATCTCATGATATTTTCTAAGACAGCACAGAGAAATCTACCAAACCTATTGGCTTCATCTTCCGTGCATGACATGACAGCAAAAGTAATGTCACAAAAAAGCCTATCATAGAACAATAAAGTGCTGAAGCTTTTAGTTTGGATTCTATGTAAAGTGTGAATAAACTGGGCACAATATAGAGCATCTAATACAGAATATATACATCGTGGAAATATGCAAATTCTAAGGAACTGAGTAATCATTTCATTTTTAGAAGGCTTAACTGGTCCAGGGAGGAGCCATTTGTCTTTTTCTGCTTTCAGTTTCTCTAATATGCTAGCGACATGGCATTCTTGGTCTTTCAATTCTTGGGCTAGTTTTTCATGCATTGATGAGGCTTTTTCCTGATCACTCTTACTCTGCTTGCCCGATGACTGTTCCAATTCTTTATACTTTGTTATTTCTTTATTATATGCTTCGACTGGAACAGTAAGATCGCTCAAATCGAGGGACCAAAATACTCCTACAAACTCAGAAGACATTTCATCCCAATCTCTAGTGGGCCAAAGGCGCTCGAAGACATGACCAATATCTTTTATCCACTTAAACATAATTTCACCAGTATTGAATTTGAATTTAGTAGAGGTTCCTTTGTAGGAATATGAATATTTGCGATGAACATGAAAGTGCAATATTGGTCGATAGAGGCAAAATGCTGAAGATGGTTCAAGATTATTGACACATAAAAGGTCAACCAAAGGTGGCATCAAATTGTCATTTTCATTGATATTTGATGTAATAAAAGTTACAAATTGCAGTAATGTGTCATGGCACTCATCGTATAGCTGCCCAACAAACTGCAGATCATATTTTTGACTTTGCATAAACATGATATGATTTTTATGTTGAGCTAGTATCATTCCAAGAGGCCCAGTTAAGTTGTTGTCGACAAGTGCTTCCTTCAATCGGGCAGCAGTTTTCTTGAAGTTTTTCTGTTGAAAAAAATAACCAGCTTCGGCTTTCATTATTTCCCCACCACCCAAAGCTTGGATTTGATGAGGAGTCATGTCATTAGTTATCAGAATTCCACCCATTTTCTGCATGATTTCTTTTAAAAGAACAAGTTCCGCACTGCTGTTTCTACTTAACTGATCAGTTATGTAAAGTAAAATTCCAGACAAGTCAACGTTGTATTTTTTGAAAGCTGTAGCACAAAATAAGGAAGTGCTCTGGAACCAAGGAGAAATAGCACAACCATCATGTTTCACTCGTTTTTTGGGATCATTTTGCAAAGAATCATAAATACAAAATCCCATGACATCAAACGATAAACTGGTCATATACTTTAGAGAATCAACAACAGGCCCAATCAAATTATCATACAATTGGATTTGGAATAGAATATAATCGAAAAGTGTAGCTGGTGAGTAATGAGATATTTTTCCCAACAAGCGACCAATTTGTTTTACATTTTCTTTGCTCACCCTTTTCATACAAGACTTCATATTTACTTTTCCTTGACATTTCTTAGAGAGGACAGCTTGATGTTTAAGAACATATTCTCTCCATACGTAGTACATTGAATATCTCATCTGCAAAGGGTACATCTTAATGAGGGCCCAAAATGCTTCACTGACACAACAATTAGCTTCCAAATTTGAAAGAGCTGGTAGCAAAGAGGAGACGATGACATCAGCAATATGTCCTCGAAGGAAATCTAGTTTACCGCTGTTATCAGCATTAACCTTCTCCATAACTTTTGCCAACAGCCGAGCCAATTTCATCAGCAATTTCACATCATAGTGAAGTGATGAACCCAGGGTTATTAGAATAGGAAAAACATGGTCACTCAATTCTTCACAAGTTTTCGGCTGTAAAGGTGTCAATGGGGAAGGATCAAATTTATAAGGGATTATTTTCCGCTTAGAGGCAGGTTTAACCTGAAGTAATTCAACTAGCAGCCCATCGACCAAATAATGAACCAATCTGGCTACTGATAATGCAATTATAGGTTTATCCAATAAATAACCGGAAGGAAAATAAGTAATTAATTCAGTAAAAACCTTCCATGAACCCATGGCAAGTGCTTCCTCACAAAGACCTAATTTCTGGTTCTTATCACTTTCATTGTAATTTTTATCCTTTCTATAAGGCTTATTAAGTTCTGCAGCATTTTCAAGTGATTTCTGTAAAGTTTTCTCATCAGGAACAAGCCAAGGTAAGATTTCTTCAATTTTTACTACTTCAAAATGGAGTAGGATACATATTAAACTATGATATGATTTTGGTGTAACTGAATTTGCAAATCTCAAATATCTAAATCCGATTACTTCACACATTAAATCCCTTTCAAATACAAATTTTTTCAAAACTTCGATGAAAAACTGGTGTTCATTTAATTTTGTTTGAAATAATTCTAAAATACAATCGATAACTCTTGTAGGATCTAAACTAAATGAGCCAATTATTGATTTGATACTTTCGACGACTTCATCAATATTTCTGCTTTTCTGATTACAACATTTGTTTAGTTCTACTATTACTTTAGCATATCCTTCAATCTCTTCACGGAAAAGGTTAAATTTATTTTGTTTATAATAAAGTTTAGTTTTAATTTTGACAGATTTTGTTGAAAATGCTTTAGAAATAATGCCAAATTCTGAAAGAGACTCTAATTCCAAAGCAGACCGACAAACTTTAGAGCACCACTCTTGATCTAAAGCAACCATTATATTGGTAAGACGAACAAACCTTTCCCTTGGTTTACGGTCCATTATAAACATTTCCACATCAAAAATATTAATGACATCCATAATAATTGAAGGAACCTCATCGTCTAGCTGGCTTAGCTGAGAGCAAGCTGATACAATATGGTTGGTCTTCAAATTTCCATAAATGCCTTGCCAAAACAAATCATAAATTATTTCAGGTAAATTCGTCCGTTTTCCCTCTTTTGTCAGAAGAACAGATCCCTCTTCTTCTATGATTTTTGCACACATGCCAACCATGTTTGTTTTTCCATCTACTGCCATCTGCTTCCATGTTGACTGAGCATCAACCCGCCTTTTGGATATCCTCCTCATTTTTGAACTGATATAAAAAATCTGGAATGAAAAAAAAAGATCGATGAAAATAATAACAATAATAAGGATAGAAGATAGGTATTGAAACAATTATAAATATCCAGAATTTAAAATGAAAAGTAACTTTTATTATTAATCAATTTTAATATGACTGGAATTTTTATTTATTTTTGAATATTTTTCTAGTCTTTTAGAACTAGAACTTTTCAATTATTATTTATTTTTATTTTTTATTTTGAATGTTATTATAGAACTTTTATTTATAAAACTTTTAAAGTTCTGTTAAAGCAATTCATTACACCAAAATAAAGTACAGTACTTTATGGGTGTGGAGTAGCCCAGGGTTAGGCAGTAAGTTAGGCAGTCTAGCTATGACAGGTAATTATATATTCTGTTACATTAGCTGTGGATCAACCGTGGGATCAGCAGACTCTCCGGGGAAACACAGCCTCTATAACATGGGTACTTTTAATTAAATTATTATTTAATGAAGAAAACCTGGAAGTTGAGTGTGATTATGGGCCAAACACTTCTCTGCATTACTGTTGGCCTTGGAACAGTAATTTCTTAACAAGTACCGAACACAAGAACCTCCATGGGATGTAGTGGTACAAGTTTGTTTATTAATTTATTTTTTAAAGTAAATTTAATAAATGGTATTTTTTTTAATATTCTGTTTTTCCCCTTATTTAACATTTATTTCTAACCAAAACATTTTTTTAAGCTCAAAGTATATAAAATTCAAACATTTAAAATAACTCCAGAACTTTATTACAAAAAAATCATTAGAATTTTAATTAATTTCTTTTCTTGAAAAAGTTCCTTAAAAGAGCACACTAACCAGCACTCTAGAAAGAAGCATTAAAAGATTTGAGAAAAAAGTTCTACTCACGATAACTGGAGCGATCTGGGTTCCATGTACCAACACATGGAGCAGAAAGACCAATAAAGAGTAACTTTCAGAAAAGGTAAATTAATATCTCATGATATGAAGGCAAGAAGGTTAAGATGGGCGAGGCATACAGCATCCAGCAATTGGAGCAATCCATCTGGAAGCCTTTACACAACCATTAATGCCACAATAGTAGGCAAAAGACCATGTGGAAGGCCAAAAAGAAGATGGATAGATTGAATCAACAAAGATGAAATAGAGCTGTATGCAGAGAAATGGAAAGAAGTAGCCCAAAATAGATAGAGATGTGGAAGGCTGGTTAAGGTGGCAAAAAATCAACAAGATCTGTAATGGCATCAGAAAAAAAAGAGATCTTTTGACACTTCTTAAATGTACTTCCTAAAAAAAATTTTAAGCCTGCGTGTGACATGTAACTTTTAATATTTTTTAATCGTGTAAGTTACTCAAGTTGTATAAAGCCAACAGAATTCTTTTGCCACCAATTTTATAAGATTTAAGAAATATTATTTCTACTTGAGTTATATATATCAAAAGGGATTTTTGAAAGGTATTTCATAAATATAAATTTTGAAAAAAAAAAATGAGCGTATATAAAACAAAAATATACACAAAGAAACATAGAACAATATAGGATAATCAATTCATAATACAACACATTAAAGATAAAGACTTAGAATGAAGGAGAATAACAATTAATCATGAGTAATGAAGAAAATATATCATTGTGCAAATATGGTATTCTCAAAGGATTTGCTATGGGATAGATCATAGCAGAACCAAAACCTCTGAGATGTAGTTGTGGCCTCCAAACGTTTTTGTGTGATACTTATTAATCTAGTGCTAGAAATACTTAATATTTAGTTATTCAAGTAATGACAATTCCAAAATTAAGGCAATTAAGTTTAATGTATATGTGTGTGTATTAGTGATAAATAAAAATAGCAATGGTAAAGATAAAGAATTATTATTGTCTCCATTAGCAATGCCTAACCTTACTGCGGCCTCTAATGATAAGAAGATTCCCCACATACGGGCTATATCAATTTCAAAAATATGTCAAATTGTTTCAAAATTTTTAAATATCTTAAATATTTGAACTCTATTGTGGGAACTAACAAAAATCTAAAACAGACTTGTGTGATATATTAAACTGTTGGGATTTTCAATGAAGATTTAATACACTGTGAGAATACAAGGAATGCAACTCAAAATTTCTGATGTCATAAATGTTTCAACCTGATTTCAATTGGGCCACTATCATTCCAAGAGCAGCCAATCTTGAAATACCAGAGCAAAACCATAGAAATAATAGGTGAAATAACTGCAACCGGCGTTAGAGAAACTATTGGGGGCTTTACGGTATAAATTAATTTTTGTATCATATTCATTATAACAAACATAGATAGAGGGGTACTAGTTCACAAGAGTTCCGCACGGATCACGCGTGGTTCACAATCACTTCGATCACACTTGTTCCTGGAATCCCGAAAACAGCCGAATGTTGTCGTCTTTTATGACGTCAGCTATTGCCCCATTACACAATCCCTTTTCACGCATTTTTGAAAAAAAAAATAACATATTCCCTTCATTGGACTTCCTTATTAACAATTTATTAACGAATTGTGTATTTACTAATTAGTTAATTATTAATTTTTATCATAACGGTTATCACTGTAAAAGAAAAAGAAAAAAATACATAAAATAATGTTTGAGTCGTTTCTGCAAGGCCTGTTAAAAAAAATGCTTTTAGAAATAACATTTTTATTGACAAATGCTTACATGTAGTGGCTATAAATAGGCATATACTGTATATTATCTTTTATAACTGTGTATAAAAGGTTTTTTTTTTTATCATTTGGATAATAAATAATTTGAAGTTATCTATTATCTTTTTATTTGTTATTCGCGTTTTTCAATAGAAGTTGGAATAATTGCATTTATAATTTATTTTAGCAAACCTTTTTTAGTATATGACATCTATCTAGTTTATGTAATTTTTTGGATTTCTAATAATACGAGCGTCCACTATTTTCTAGTGGTGGGGAGGGGGGAGGAGGAGCGCTTTGTATCCATATACTGACTGATTTCAGATTAAGCATCAAGTTTATGTAACTTTTTTGAATTCTTAGATCCACTATTTTCTAGTCGTCGAAGCTTTTTATGAATATACTGGATTTAAAATTGTTCGTCGATTTTTTGTAGATTTTTGGATTTCTTAGATATAAGAGTCCACTATTAAGTTGTCAATGACGCTTTTTATGGAAATAATGTCAGATTAAAGATTTATGAATATACTGATGATTACAAGATAATGAATAATGAAAATCATCAATAAGAAAAATAAAATCGTGAAATAGCATTCAGAGATGTAATAATTAAAGATTTTTATCTATTACTATTTCTTTTTTACAGATCTATAATATATGTACAAGTTCAATTCAGGTTTCATGAAGTGTAGCCTAAATTTAGAATGTAAGTCGACTCCTGCTATAGAACTGAACGTGGTTATAGAAGTACTTAAATGGCGGGAAAGTTAATAGTAACTGGCCCAAGAGATCGGTCGCCTTCGTTCTCTTTCGGATAAACCCGAACGCATTCGGGATTCCAGGAACAAGTGTGACCGAAGTGATTGTGAACCATGCATAATCCATGCGGAACTCTTGTGAACTAGTACCCAAATAATGAATTGAAAAGAATATATTTTTAGCTTACCAAATTTCCAGAAGTTCAATATAAGACTTAAGTTTATATATTAAGTGTCCAGAAATATGTAAAATTTCCTTTCGTCTTGGAAATAAATAAATTGCAATTACAAAACATAATATTTGTACTAAGTAACCCAAATAAAAGAGTTTGCACAGCCTCAGAACTTAATAAGACATCTGAAACAAACAAATAAATTAAGAAAATACAATGTACCAATTGCTAAGAAGTAATAAATCATAACTGCACATCTACTAAAATAACCTTCCTGAAAGAAATTACTATTATTATTTATATATATATATATATATATATATATATATATATATATATATAAGAAAAAACACTCCTTTACTGCTTTATTGATCTGTCTCAAATATGACTGAAATTTCAAATGATAATTTAACTGATGCTGTAGATGTGCAATAAGAATTCGAGAAAAAAAATATTATACTCTATACGAAATTATTTCTAAAGCCTAAAAATAAAAGTAATGCTTTTAAAATAACTCAAAACCTATAATTATAGGCACTCATTTGAAACATAACTAAATTCACTATAAGATAAAAGAAAATACTCTAAATCCGACCAGTACTAGCAACAATACAGCTTATTTTACATATTATATTTGTTTTATTCACATTTTTTCTTATTGATTACTTGAATGGTAGTTCTCCTTGAGACTCTTATGAGGACAAATTAAAATGTAATGGGAGAAAAATGAAATATTTTCCAGCAAAGATACAGGTAACAGCTAGTTGCAGTATATGATTGTGGAAAAAATTAATATATTTTGATACGACTTCTAAGACTCATGAAAGAATTAACAATAACTTGGCTGATTTTTATTTAACACAACTGACTTTGTCCTTCCTATAAAGGAAATAGTTTTGCACACATGAGATATCACTTTTAGCACCTGCTGTATTCAAAACTATATGAAACCAACATTTATTTTTTCCTAAGAAAATCATTAAATACTTAAACATATATATATTTATATATTTCTGCAAAATAAATACAAAACAACAATTACATTTGTAGCTTTATAGCATTAGTTCTAGCAACTCTAAGGGATTCAATGATTATTTCTTATATCTTGTCCTCTCATTCCTGAGTATTTCTTCAGCAAGGAAAAGTGTGGAAAGAAAAGTATATAACACCCAATGTTTTCTTGGATAACATTCAGTAATTGAAGAATTTTACTGGAATGTAAGGACGAAATAAGAAAAATAGAACTGCAAGGGAAAGTAAAAAAAACACAGTAACCTCTCGAAATTGTAAAGTTTGATACAGTTGCAGAGTTTATAAAGAAATAAAAATGATTTGAAAGTATTTTTTAAGGTTTGATTTCAAATGTTTTAAAAAAACATTTGCATATAATAATATGCAAAAAAATATTCCTGAAAAAAATAATGCAAGACTTTTCCCACATTTGGATTGCTTGTGTGAATTGCACAAGTTACCGATAATAAATTAAAGTTGCTGGAGTTATAGTTCCTTCAAATACAATTTTTTTAACAGTTCAGAATCCATTTCTGATGATAGTTACTTAACTCAATTTTACAATCAGATTCTCTAGACTGTGGAAATGCATACATATACAACTGGAAGAGTGAAGTAGTTAAAATGATTATTATTAACATAAATACTTGAATACATTATCTGTGCTTAAAGAAAAGTAATACAAAGATGATTCATTGATAAGTGAATAACAAGATAATATTAAAATAAAAATTATTCCGCAATATTACCAAACTTCTACTGACTATGCAGCAGTTGTTTGTTTGTTACATAGAGGACTCAAAGACCAGAAAAAAAAGAAGTAGAAGTAACAGCACAAGAAACATTTATAATATTTATATAATTCTTGACATGTAGTAATTTTTTCATTATTTAGTAATTGTTGCAGTGCTTAAATAATACAAATTTTCCAAATTCTCTAACTTGGCTAAAAGAGATATATAAAGATAAGTACATCAACTGATAATTAGCTAACAAAAAATGATAAAATATTTTCAGTTGACTGTGAAATCATTCATCTAATTCGTATTTTTTCATAAAATATAATAACTATAGTTACCTGTTTAAAGACGCAATATCCATAATATAGGAAATTTCCTAAACTGGCACAATATTATAATAATTAACTGGTTGTGTTGGTGTCTATTTTGAAATGTAAGGTTATAGAAGTAAGCGTGGCGGGAGGTAGAGAGAGGGTTACCGCCAGCGTTGACCCAGTGTTACCAGGGCGAGCGTTCGCACAACACCTTCAGTACCGACTCCCGAGAGCTTTCGTCTGGGATTATTTCAGCGGTTATTTTACTTTTATTTATGAAAAGTGTTTCGGGTGTTAAAGGCGTTTATCTCCTCTGCAAGGAGCCTCTTCAATAGTGAGTCATTTATTCAAGTTGTTCACTAAAAATTAGAATTTAATTGTACCAATTACTTAAATTTTGTATAATTATCCGGTTTTCTATGACTAATTTCATTAAAGTTTACCATATACATTTCAATTGATAACTGCTTGTAGTTTTAGTCTTTTTTATTTATTCAACTGATAATATTAAACTATGATTGTTATTGAATAATTATTAATATCAAAGAATGAATGCATTAAATATTGACTTCACTAGTGATAGAATGTCCTTAATAGTCCTCTTTCAAACTTTGTTGAAATGACATCCGCGAATACATATTCTATGAGATATTTTCTCCATGTGAAACAGTAAATCTATTTAAGTATTTAATTATTATGATACAATCGTTAGGCTTTAAATATAATTTAATATGAGCTAAATCATACAACACCTATAACAAATGAAAGACAAAATAAAGTTTTAAATTTAATAAAATTTCATGAAAAAATATTTCTATTTATCGACCGGGTAGCAAATAATTAATAGGAAAATATTTTATTGAAAACAGAGCTTTTTTGTGGGTGAAGGACGTAAAATGAACTTCTCTAGCCGAATAATATTTAATAAATAATACCCTAGTAGTTCATGATAGCTATTAATAAATAAATATGTACCTGGAGTTATTAAAATTTCATTTGATTCCTGAAATAAAACTTGTTTGTATACCAATTACGTACGGTGTTTTGATGCTGAAGTCATTAAATGTTGAGGAGGAAATTAGTTCCTTCAATCGAGTGAGTATATTCTCATAAAATATATTTAGTTATAATTCTACAGCTTTAGATCTTAAATATGATATTAAATAAAAAATAAAATAATAAATTAGTTTATGATAATAACAAAAAAAATAAATGAAAAAAAACTAATTCATAAGTTAATTATTTAATTGTTACCTTTATTTTAAAATTATAAACAACAAATTTGCTCATTTAACAATTTTTATGTCATTTCTAAAACATAGTATCCTTAGAGATCATCTTTTATTGTTTTATTACAATTAAAAAAACGTTCGTAAATTTTGATTAACTCAGCGGGATGATTTAGGAATTACCTAATTTGTTAAGCATTTATTCAATTTTTAGAGAAATTCAAGAAATAATTTGGGAATTTGCTATTCTTGATAGTGAACTGTTTGAATCCGTTCTTTCTGTCTATGATTATTCGATTAACACTTGTTGCAATGATAATATAAAAGCTGAAATGATAAGGTTTTGAAATCATTCCAGTTTATATTTATTTAATCGATTTATTGAATTGAGAAAACAGGACTATAAATTGAAAATAAAATCACAAGAAAATTTCTAATATTGTTTTTCTTGCACTACGTAAGGCCGTGAAATCATGTCGCATCCGGTATCATGTTTATCAGATATTCTAGGTCAAATATGCATGCGTATTGGAATCAATAACTTTCTATTTGTCAGTTTTTCTTACCATTATTCTTTTATCAAGATAATTGAAAATCGCACGGAATTTGGATACTTAAGTGTTTTGGGAATGAAAATTCTGATCATTTAGGAGAATCGAAATATTTTATTTTACTTTGCAAAATTATTATTATTTGAAACTTTTTTCTAGGCGAAAATTCGGTATTCACAATAATGAAAGTAATGCTATGTTTAGAAGGATAGCTGGTGGAATTTAATTATATAGATGAAATATTAAATTTTTCAAAATAATATAATCGTATCAGTTGAGACAGAAATTTTTATGGTGGTTTAAAAATTATTTTCATACTTCAAATATCATTTCTGAATATCCTAAAAGTTAAAAAAAGAAAGAGGTGCGAAACCAACACCCAGGAGATTCATTATCCATAAGATTTTGTTTATGGTTAACTGTCTCCTTCTCTAATAAATCGTGTTTTTTTTTTGTTATTTATTTATTTTTTATTCCTTGAATTGATGAATAACGCATAAATTTCCACCAATGTCATTAATTCATTGTTCAGTGTCACCTTAGTAATGTTGTTAATATTTTTGGTTATATTATAAGTATTAGCTGTATTAAAACTTAATTTATACTCAATCGTGTCTTTTTGTAGATACTAAGAGTATCTATTTTATAAAAATATTATTATACCCATTTCAAAAAGTATAAACGTTTAAATTTCTGCAGTTGGAAGGGGAATTCAAATCCAATTTAAATATTTCAAACTGCTGCGACTACAGAATGGTGTAATCAGGCAGTCAATGACATTGAACCCAATTTTACGCTCGGCTTTACCAAAAGGTGACCTATAAATTTTACAAAAAAAAAAATCTAATAAATTATACTATATATAGTTTTTCTTTGATTGAAGTATGTATTATCTCATGGTTGTGTATGTACATCGTTTTAACGTGACCTACTATTTTTATTTAAAAATATTATTAAACAATAATTAGATCGACAAAGATTTTCCTAGGGTTTTTTTAAAATTGGAAACTCCAAATTATATTTATGCCAAAAAAAAAAGAAAGAAAAAAGAATTATCACAGTTTTATCATACTACAATTAAATATCGTGTACTATAGTTAAAAAACATAAAAGTGAGTTTGTTTCCAAGTGAGATTTTTTTGTGATTTCGATTGTAATAGAAACATATCGCGTTAGGTTGGTTTTTTTGTTTAAAATCTTGACATTGAATAATTTTTAATGCTAGGAAAACATGTGATTCGGTCTGCATAGTTATCTATCTACGTGGCTAATCATATCGTGATTTCTGTGGAACAATTGTAAAATACGGTCATGTCTTGGAGATTTTTACGGAGACGATTTATAAATAATGGATTTTTTACGGCTGAAGGGGCATTAAAATAGAAGATTTAAACCTCCTTTAATACATTCAAGATGGACTGGAACGGATTTGTAATTGTGGATTAAATGTTTTGTTGCTTTGGTCGAATATTTTTCTTAGATTCTTATGAAATGTAGTTCAATCTTAACTTTTTTTTTCAAAACTTTTTTTATTTTTGCTTTCGAATTTCCATTCCTCCTGGATAATAAACAATAAATGTATCACTTTGTCAATTTTTTCCTCTAGCTCCTTCCTCTCACTATTGTCTATGCCGTTAAGGAGGCGATTGTTGGTAACAAGTCGATAATTATGATTCATTTGGATTAATAATTGCCTTGTATATCGAGGGTGTTGGGAAGTTTATTGAAGGGTGTTCGATAATTACTAGGGTCGTGGATGTTAAGGATAGGACAGCTGTAAACTGTTGCGACACGCTATAAGGGACCTGCCAAGAGAGTTGGATATTCTGCATCTCTGTCATGGGTGTTGTAATCTCCTTCAGTAATGTGATTAAAATAGGGAATCAAGGCTATTAAGATAATTATCATAACTATAGTAAAGTCGAATAAAAGAAGTTGATGAGTTCATTTTTATTGATTGAATGGCATCAGTCGAAGTGTAGCCCATGTGTTATCCTAACAGGTTAAAAAGCTTCATGAATAAGGATACCAGAACCTTCATTGGTTCTGCTGGTCTGTAAGTCATGTTAATTTGGTATGGATTTGCTTCTAGTGGTTGTTAAGCTGTGGTACCGACTTACATGGAGGTAGTTTAAACTTGAGGTGGAATATTAGTTAGAAATGGTTTACTTACATATCTAGTTGAGAAACATCTTGGTGAATGTTCAGAAGTTTAAGGATGACATCCATAGTCATTTCTTTAACTCCACTTGAACGATCCGTCAAAAAAGATACTTTTATGAAATTCAATAAAAAAGGACTTCTCAAAGGAATGTTATTGTAAATCGAAACAGTCCCATTACCTCCTTTTCATATTCTATGCCCAATCGATACTATGATATATTTTCCTCCCGAAAATATTTAAGAGAAGAAGAAGTAGGGTCTCTGCAATCAAACTGGCTGAAAGGAGTCCTTTTTTATCGAGTATCGTAAAAGTATTCTTTTTTGACGCAATGTTCCACTTTGCATGCAATCCTTATTTCTTGAACGGAAGATGTAGGCGGATCACTTGGAAAGTGTAGATGTTTTATAGTGATGATCGATGTTGGTAGATATTTCTGGTGGATTTGATTCACCGTTAATAAGGTCGAAGGCTGCGCTTTATTACTTGAAGCGAGACCTTGCTGTATTGACTTCCTCCTAAAGTGTACTAATCTTTTGACATTAAGCATGAAGATCCTGCTTGAAAAACTTTTTTCCTCAGTCTATTTTTTTCGTGTTTTTTCAACTGTTCAGCTATCAAACATTTCACAATGTTGAATAATTCTCATAGTATAATCTGCCAGATAATTACTCAAGAATGTTTTTGCGGTTGTCATTTTGAAAAATAAACCAGTGTTTTCCTACAACTGTACATATCATTTAGTAATATTTAATGTTATGTGAACAGAATAAATAAGTCTTGATTCACCGTAGTGATCAATCAGACACAAATGCTTAAGAATAAATAACTCTTAATTTAAATAACTCGGATGAATTTTTCAAACTGGATTTTTTAAAATCTGAAATATATTCTGTATTGAACTCGATACAAATTATATTGAATGATTTAGCAACTAGAATAATATGATAGCACGTGGGAATAATATGCTTATAGAACAAGTGGATATATAATATGGAATTAAGTAAATACAACGTATTATGAGAGGGAGGAGTAAATTCTCTTTCAAAATAATAGACCAATGCATGTGTACAAATTACAATTGGCTGCATATTTATTGAAAATGCTCCATTTTGATGATCCACTATCAGTCAAGAAAGTTAGTCAGTCCTTGAGTGAAAAGTCGTTTGAGGATTGGGGAAAATTTAAGTGGCACTGAATGAATAGGTGTGCCCCATTTTAAGTCAAACTAGTGGGCTAACAAGTTTATGTAC